CCGCGCTGAGGCCCCGAGCCCGCCCCATGCTTGCCTTCCGCGGGCCGGCTGGCTGGCTGGCGGGGCCGTGGAGTTCTACATCCTGTCTTTTCGCTAGGAGGAGAGTGACCTGGAGCGGGGATACATGGCCATCATTTTAGAAAATGAACTTCCTAAACTGTTTCTTGATTTCCTGAACGTGCGACACTTGCCATTTCTACCAAAGGCAGAGTTGTGAATCTCTTGATGAAACAGAATCTTAAGAGTCAAGCAAACTGCCCCACCAGCCGGTGCTGATATGTTCTTCAGGGATCCATACGTCTTACCTGTAGCCAGTGGTCTTCCAATTGCGGTAACTGAAGGAGTTCTCCATGAGATAGTTTACTTTCACCTACAGCCCAGGTAGAAGTCCTACAGGTCCAGAAGAACCTGAAGCAAGTTTGAAAGTTGTAGTCAAGGAAATCGATATCTACCAAATTAACCTAAACTCTGTGACATAACAGCTCTAGCTAACGGTAAAATTCACAATCCCAGCTTAATTCAGGGCAGGGATGGTTCCATTAGAATGATGTTTTTAAAAATAGAAACTGAACCAGGGTTGTGCTGAGGTCCCCAGGAGCACCAAGTGTGACAAAACAAAGTGACTCTTGGTTTCACTTACACCATTTGCTAATTGGAAACCTCATCCTGAATCATGCTGAGACTGATCAACTTTGGTAGCTTTTTTGTTCAGATTTTTTGACACACCAATCTTTTCATTATGAGATTTTCTCAGCCAGTGATACATTCTGAAGTGCTGGCACAAGGAGAGTCTCATAGAAAGACACACTGCTAAATGTGAGGAAGGAACTAAACTGGAAATTAGATTAATGCTGACAATATTGGGGCACTTTTTAAATCATGGCATTTTAATTTACAGTGGAGTTGCATCAAACCCAGGGGTTAGCTTCTACTGTCAGATTAAATGGAGTATTGTGGTTATCCTTTGAAGTCCTTTAGGCTCCATATCAGAAATTTGTCCATCTACCACAGCCAGTTTTTCCTCCAGTGTTGGAAGAAATGACTGTTTCTTCAGTTGAAGACCAATTGAAGTTGTTGGTGTTCGTTTAGGGGCTATTTTGTATATAAACACACACACACACACACACACACACACACACACACACACACACTTAAACTCTAAAATCACACTTACCCCTGCTTGCCCTCTAAGAGCCAGGATGTGAACTGACAGTGACTGAGGTAACACTACAGTGACAACACTCAACTTGGTTTACTCAATGTCCATTCATTGAATAGGTGGTATTGCCACAGGATTTACTATTATTTCCTCATTGTTTCTTTTTCACTGACCTCATGTATTGAATTAATGTAAGCTAAATGTATTTATGATATGATTCCACAGCATATCTTAAAGACATTCATATTTTGAGCAGTAAAGTATACAAGCATATATGCAACCTGTATGTATGTATTTGGGCATTTCATTGAAAACTAATTAATGGCTAGCCTGTTTATAAGTTTTAATAGGCTTCTGTGTAGGAGAAGACTATTTAGATTCAAAACTAATTATCAAATCATCTTATTTGAAAGATATCTTACTACATGTTAGAAACAAGTAAGAACTAAATAATCAAGTGTCATCAACCGAAAATAACTGAATAGTCAAGTGTTGGGGATACTTTCTTAATTGTCTTTGTTATTAGCTATTTTGAGTTAAAAAAAAAAAACAACAAAGAATAAGGTATATTTGGGGGAAAAAAAGAAAAAGAAAGGCAATGGGATTATCTATCCCATTGGCAATGGATTCTAAAAGAACCCATGAATTATATCACTCACATCTCCCTCTTAAGAAACAAAAAATAAACAAAACCTCAAATCACATTGCTATTAAGCTTTCTTGGAGTAAGGAATAAGACCAAGCTACGCTAGTGTACAAAAACCTGAAATTCCGAGCGTGAAAATAATTTATTGATTAGACATCTGGTTTATTCAAGCATTTGGCCTACTGAAGGTAACATTTTGTTTTTAATTTTAAGTCAATCGAGTTGGAGTTAGTACAATAAAAAAGATATAGGTTTGGACTCCGCATACATCTGTCACCCTTAGG